ACTCGTTTTCTGATACGCCCTTTACCCGCGCCTAAGTTGGGTAGGATAACCCACACGATGGAGTAAAGTGATCACTATAGTAAAAAAGTCTTCTCTTTTCTCCGAGTGTAAGTAGCAGTGACACTGACACGGATCGATGTCAGTATGGTTACACTGATACTACTTGTCAGTGTCACTCTGTTCGTCTCATTTTGCATTTCTTACGAAACGGGGGAAACGGCTTCTAACCTGCGCCAATTCCTGTCGTTCAATTCTGATACGTACTAAGTTCTAAAACGGTTTTAATTCCGGTGCCCACGTAGTTTAGTCATGGCACGTAGTTATGATAGGTTGTTTACTTATGGTAGGTTGTTTACTTATGGTTTTGGTAGGTTGTTTACCCATGGCAGGTTGTTTACCCATGGCAGGTTTTTTACCCATGGCAGGTTGTTTACCCATGGTAGGTTATTTACCCATGGCAGGTTCAGGTTGTTTACTTATGGTACGTTGATTATTTATGGTGCGTTGATTATATTATTTATGGTACGTTCTTTACTTATGATACGTTGTTTAATTACGTTATTTATGATACGTTGTTTATTTATTGTGTGTTGATTATTTATGGTACGTTGTTTATTTATTGTGCGTTGATTATTTATGGTACATTGATTATTTATGGTACGTTGGTTATTTATGGTATTCGGTTACTTTTGTTACGGTATTTAGTTGTGGTACGTTGTTCAAATTTAGTAGGTGATATAAATTTGGTCCGTCGTTTAACGTTGGTTAGAAGATCCGTAGGAATTATGTTGTACTAGCTTGAGGATCCCGCCATGTCATGAAAGTGAACGTAATGAATTACTGGACGGACTAAAATTGATCCATTTCCTCGTGAATTCTTTATCCAAATTTGAATGATTTGGTTTCCAAAAACCACGACCGATCGTACATCTAGTATCACTTCATCGGTTTATCAGGATATCAAAGTGTAAGCACAATAAATATGTGCTCTTTGCAGCCAAAACCACAGTGAACTGACATTGCACCTCAATACCCTGGGAAGCAAGTTCATAATAAAGCACCCTTTAAAGTATTTTGACTTGGAATAATTTCAACATTAAAACTGATTGTCAGGTCGCCATTTTACAGCGACGCCCTGCTATTGCGTTTAATAGATTGATAAGTTCAGATCGTCTAATTAATTCAGTTCTTTCCTGAGGATCTGGGTTTCTATAGTTGTCCGAATATCTATGACAGGGATTAATGATGAGACGTGTGCTTTTTTGATTCTTAATTATTAAACACTAGATAGGATTACAGGATAAGGCACGAGGAGGATTTATACAATATATTTAAGAAGGTGGAGTTTACGACACTGCGAGTTGGTGGCGAGTGCCGGAGTCGATAAGATAGACGTAGTGGACGCGTCTATAGGGTTAGCTGCGAATGACTGCAACTAAGACTCGTGGTCTATGACTGGCTATGACTGACTGCTTGAAGAGCTTATATAGAGTGAGACCAACCACAGTGACATCACAGGTGACGTAAGAGAGACTATGACATGATTGACTACTGGGAAGAAGACGAATGACTTTAACCTATAGCCTTCCAATTAATTAGACATATACATTTAGCCTGGATTCCTGTTGGCCAGTAGACAATAGAATAGAAATGCCTGATAACTAGAGTTATTTCGCACATGAATGGTTTAAATGTTCTTGTAGTCGTTTACCGACTTGTCTTGTTTCCGTAATGAATTCCATTGAATACGAAGCAAGATATGCACTGTCCACGAGACATACCAGTCCACGAGACATGCCACAGTCCACGAGAAATTCCACAGTCCACGAGACATACCAGTACACGAGACATACCAGTCCACGAGACATACCAGTCCACGAGACATACCAGTCCACGAGACATACCAGTCCACGAGACATACCAGTCCACGAGACATACCAGTCCACGAGACATGTCAATCCACGAGACATGCCAATCCACGAGATACACCAGTCCACGAGACATGCCACAGTCCACGAGACATGCCACAGTCCACGAGACATGCCACAGTCCACGAGACATGCCACAGTCCACGAGACATGCCATAGTCCACGAGACATGCCAGTCCACGAGACATACCAGTCCACGAAACATGCCAGTCCACCAGGCATACCAGTCCACGAGACATGTCAGTCCACGAGACATACCAGTCCACGAGACATACCAGTCCACCAGACATACCAGTCCACGAGACATGTCAATCCACGAGACATTCCACAGTCCAGGAGACATTCCACAGTCCAGGAGACATTCCACAGTCCAGGAGACATGCCACAGTCCGCAAGACATGTCACAGTCCACGAGACATGCCACAGTCCACGAGACATGCCACAGTCCAGGAGACATGCCACAGTCCACGAGACATGCCACATTCCACGAGACATGCCAGTCCACGAGACATGCCAGTCCACGAGACATGCCACAGTCCAGGAGGCCTGCCACAGTCCACGATACATGCCAGTCCGCGAGACATGCAACGGCAATATAATTAATGTACGTTTAACGGTTCAACTGAACTACGAGTTTGATATTTATTTCGGTGTCGAATCTGACTGATCTTTAATGGTGATGTCGAAAACTGACTATTATTATGCAAGAGTATGTTGATATCAAGCATCTGATGTAGATGTTGACATTAGACGCCTGATGTAGACGCTGACATTAGACGCCTGATGTAGACGCTGACATTAGACGCCTGATGTAGACGCTGACATTAGACGCCTGATGTAGACGCTGACATTAGACGTCTGATTTAGGCGCTGACATTAGATGCCTGATTTAGGCGCCGACATTAGACGTCTGATTTAGGCGCTGACATTAGACGCCGACATTAGACGCCTGATTTAGGCGCCGACATTAGACGCCTGATTTAGGCGCCGACATTAGACGCCTGATGTAGACGCTGACATTAGACGCCTGATGTAGACGCTGACATTAGACGTCTCGCCGACATTAGACGCCTGATTTAGGCGCCGACATTAGACGCCTGATTTAGGCGCTGACATTAGACGCCGACATTAGACGCCTGATGTAGGCGCTGACATTAGACGCCTGATGTAGGCGCTAACATCAGTCGCCTGATGTAGACGTTGACAGCAGGTGCTTTATGTAGACAATGACATCAGACGCCTGATGTAGACGTTGACAGCAGGCGCATGATGCCTATAGGTGCTGACATCAGACGTTTCACATTTTTTTCTGACATTGCCGGAATACGACACTTTATGCAAATGTTGACGTAACAAAATATGTAAAAATAACTGGCAAAATATGCCAAATTTAGACGTTGTAGAGAGACGAGGTGGACCTGTTGTCAACATCAGGCACGTGGTGCAGACGATGTCATCAGGCACGTGGTGCTGACGATGTCATCAGGCACGTGGTGCAGACGATGTCATCAGGCACGTGGTGCATTCACACTCTTCACTCTCATGTCTCTTTTTCCGCAGTTGCCTACAGATTCGGTTAAGTCTTTTTCGTTCATTCCTTGCCAATTTCACATCATTTCCCCACCATTTTTCATTCTTTTTCTGGTTTTTGCATACATTCTTATTGGTTCTTGTGCATGTGCTCCTGGCAGCCTCATTCATACATTCCTTATTCCTTAAGTTGTTCATTCATACCCATAGTGGCAAAGCAGAGAGTTTTTTAGACTCTCCCTCAAGTTTGTTTTTGAGTCCTATAAGTAGACCAGTAAAGTATCATGGATACCAGCATTATCATACATAAGATTATAAGAAATTCATTCAAATCTTGAGTAAATGAGGAAATTAAAAATGAACTGATTCTAAAAAATCTCTGGTTTGCCACTATGTTCATACCATTCACATCATTTGTCACTTCCCATTCCGTATCAGCAAGTTTTACTATACTTTGGAAATACTTCCTTATTTTTTTACCCTCAACAGGCTCAACTTAGAAAATGTGTATTCCATATTGCTAATAGGCCTAGAGGCTAGTACTAGTAGTCTAGTAGTGATGTACTACAGTACTAGGTAGCCAGTAGGCTAGCCTAGGTAATCAGTCCTGAGATGACAACTCAACAGTACCTAAATAGAATTCTGCAATTTCTGCTTACAATGGGAGTAGCTTCAGGTACCCTATTCATAACGGAATTCAAGCAACTGTAGCACTGATATTTCGGAATTGTACACGAGAGCAGTCAAATATTAATTAAGTTTGACAAGTAGGTAGGTACGCCGGTTCGATGCCAACTGCCAAGATAATGTTACGGCACAGTTCCTTGTTCTAAACATAATGAAACTTCTACAAAAACACTCGTTACTCACCCATTAAAATCCTCATCTGCTTTTTACCAAATAATCTTGAAAACACGGTAGATAAAGTTAGTCCCATGATGATGTTTTGCGCCACGGAAAGCTTGAAAAAGTGTCAAAACTAATCAGGAAAGAAAGTGACACTTGCCACGTTCAATTGGTCACTGACGTCACGCCTCAGTCTCGGTCGTCTCAGACTGCCCAGCTGATGTAACAAAACTCTATCATGGATCCTCAAAATATGTAAATATTGCTATAAGATTCCTTACAAATGTGAAGGTTTGGATAAAGACAGTCAATGTTAACTTGAACTATTGTAAAGAGGACAATGTAGTTTATCATCGTCAAATATTCTATTTGAAAATTTGTGACTCATTTCAAAAGTGATATATAAAGTAAATCTTTATATATGATCCGTTCCGTCTTAGATTGTGCTTATCTATTCTTTTGCGCATCGATTTTATTTTTTCAATAGTTATATAGAAGCCTAAATATTAAAATAATGTAATGCAACATGGAGTTATGGCAATTTTACTGGCATTTAAGCAGCAGCCGGCAGATCGATGAACTATCATTTTTCCATCAAATGCAACTGATAACTCACATATTTGTATTCAGTTTAGGAAAGTTGTTGCTAATTATCGTTTAAAAAGACACGTATATTAATTGGATTAGATTAATGAATAGGGTTTTAGTCGCGTGTACCAACGCTTTTGATCCTGCTGCAGGGATATGGAGCTTCAATCAGACTGGTTTCTGCGACAAGCTCAATTCCAGATATACAAGTTTCTGCTGCTCGTAAATATGTCACAGGTCTTGATAAAACACATGAAAGAAACAAAATCTTTCTTTCAAAATTACAAAAATTCAAAAATCAAAGAAAAGAAAAAAAACAGCGGTATATTAAGCAATCAATAAAACCTGTCGAATCTGAGCTCAATTCAACTATTGAAACCCTCAAATGTTTCGAACATGATTGGAACGGAGAATTTACTCATTGCACAAGTCATGTCATTAGAGTAAGAGTAAAACGACCATTGAGCATTTACTTTATTATTTCCATGTTAGGTTTTTGGCGACAACTTGAGATAGAATCACAGTCAATATTATTCATGCATTAAATCTGCCCGAAGTATTTCGGGTTTGATGTACTGAAGAAAAGCGGCCGTTTTTGGTATTGGGAATGCATCAAGCCAATGAAACAATTTGACTTTACTTTACAAAGGAACGTCATCGAAGCGGCTAGTCAAAGTGTTGATGAATGTCTTAGTTGCAATATATTTTAAACTGAACAACAGAGGAACGTAGGGCCGTACTATCACATCATATCAGCGGCCGATTTTTCGTCTGTGATAGGTTGGTCTAGCTTGAAAAATCTTAGTGATTGGCCGACAGAGTTACAAACTCGTAACTATTTTTTATAGAACGGTTTTTGGACATCATCTGCGCGGTTTGGTTGCCAGCAGAATCATGTTGCGGGGCGACAGCTGCGGGTCGAAGGAAGGCACCAGCGCGCAGTTCACATCTGCATCAGCAAGAAATAGAATATAGGCTATATAGATATCGGATGAGTGTTAAAATAGGTATAAATATTAGTTCTAGGAAGCACAAGAAAGAATTAAAAATTATGGTGGTTAATGAAATACACTAGGACACGTTCAGCCTGTGACATAATTTGAAACCTAGTACAACCAAGAAACCTAGTACAGAATTGGCAAAATGATAAGTGGATTTTCGAACGAGCCAGTTTTTAACGACTTCATTAGCTAGAAGTTCTGTTTTAATATATAGAATAATCAGTAGCATTTTAAATAATCAGTACACATTTAAAGCGATTCCAGACATATGTATACAAAGCAAATACAATACTAAACATAAAAAAAAGACAACATGCTTATGAATACGATGCACAGTGAGCTCACCATTTTCATAGAGAAAGAAACATCGGTCCAGCAGCACCACGGTTTCTATTACTGGTGCCAGTAGCAAACGTAGCGTGTAGAAAATTATCACCTGCAAGAAGAGAACATATATTGCAAGGTTCAAAACTTTAGAGCACATAAAAGTTAATTTAATTCCCTTTACAATGAGATTGGGTTTGAAATACTGCAGATACCACGCAATAAATAATATAGAACTTCATTTAAGATACGCTATTATCAAGTACGTACCTGCGCTAGTAATAAGAGCGACATTTAATCAAGCTTCGATTCCAATAATGAAGTACACCAGTTATTGATCATCATATATAGATATTCTCTAACAAGTGCATATTCAGTTAAAAAATACCAACTTTAGAGAGTGCGTATTCATTCAATAATCATAGCACAATCGTCTTAAAATCGTTCTAATATTTCTGTGACCGGACGTTCACGTCTATAGTCACCTAGGGCGGAACGCCAAACAAATACTAACTTATTATTAAAAACAAGCCATTTTAAAACGATTGGCGATAAGAGACCCTTTTCCAGTAAATCAACTTTAGTTTAAACTTTTATTTCGACAAATTAGGGCCCTTTAGACAGCACTCAAAACTGTTGCATTAACACATAGGTGCAAAGGGGGCCGAGAAATTTCAGCATGTTCAAGGTAAAGGCACACTGCAAGACCACTAACTGAACATTCCTCATTGTTATTAAAATCAATTTTTGTACTAACACTGAGAAAGCTAAAGCACAACTAAAAAAAAGATATTGAATGATTTTATATCGTTCGCAAAGCCATGTTTCAATTTAGACCCAACTTTCCAAGTTGACACAAAAAAATAAATAATGCTTACCTGGCGCCACCTTGCCAACATGGCTTCTGTCTCAGGGGAGCTCAGGTCTTCATCGAGCAACTGTATCGTTCCCCCAGCCAAAGCCTTCACGGCTCGCCTCGCGTATCTGCCGTCAATATTAAACGATAAAATCTTGCAACTATCATAATTTTGTAGTATACAGGTGAAAGAAGACGCAATACAGCCACACAATTACTGAACGTTTTTGTCTAATTAATAGTATTTGTCAAGAGGTTAATCAGAAGGAAGGGAAGCCAAGAGCAATCGAGGTAAATAAGTAAGCTACTTCCGCAAAAGCGTACAAATATACAGTGGGGGGGAAATAAATATTCGTACACTTGAAAAATCTTATTTTAATGTATGTAAGTACACAAACTTAACAGGAAAAGTGATTTAAATTATGTATAGAGACGCATAGTATTCAAAAATACTATCAAAAGAAATTAAATCTCAATGCAACAAAAAACAATGCAACATGTTCACTTTTCGGGTGAAAAAAGTATTCGTACAAAACAATAAATCCGCATTATTTTAATTTAAAAAGGTGGTGTGCCAAGAAGAATTGTATAAAATACCAGTCAGCATCTGCAAATCATTGGTCGAGACGTATAGAAATAGACTGGTATCTGTTGAGCTGAATAAAGGGTATTCAACCAAGTATTAAATTAAAATAATGCGGATTTATTGTTTTGTACGAATACTTTTTTCACCCGAAAAGTGAACATGTAGCATTGTTTTTTGTTGCATTGAGATTTAATTTCTTTTGATAGTATTTTAGAATACTATGCGTCTCTATACATAATTTAAATCCCTTTTCCTGTTAAGTTTGTGTACTTACATACATTAAAATACGATTTTTCAAGTGTACGAATATTTATTTCCCCCCACTGTATCTAATAATTGTCAGATATGTTACATTGCTCTCTTCTTAGATAGCTAATCTTCCCATGTCTGGGAGACTATTGAACACAAAGAAATTAAAAGATAACGGACTGACAACTTACAACATTCCATTACCCAAAAAGATTTTAATATATTTTACAAACAGCTCGAAGTACTGACTCCTGGAAAGGCTTTGTGTGCGCGTGTTTCACGGGACGCAGGCCAGCACGACGGTGTTCCGGCCAACGACGCACCAAGATTTGCTCCAATGCAGCTCTGTAGCAATGCACCTGGGGACAAGCCATGACAATCATGGAACCAATTGTGATAATAGGCGAGCACGTATTTTTTAAACTACAATTTGCTTCATGTCTGCTCTGACGTAATTAACCTAAGACAAACTCGTAAACTTCATGCACGTGGCGGTGATGTTACGCGCAAAATTATTTTGCTAGATTATGTTTGGTCTTTGATTATTTCATGTAGACAAGATAGAAATTAAAAACAGAAGAGACTAACTAGACTTGCAAACGTACCTGTCACTCGACGAGTCCACTAATTCCAACCAAAGCAACATTGGAAAAAAAATTAGAAAAAATATAAAATTCCAGGAGAATATTTGCTCCTGGAATTTTCAATGCCTGAATAATATATTGTTTTGAATTAAAAATGCCCAGCTAATTTCATTCTAAAATTCGATGATAATTTCCAATTAGCAAGTGCCCGTCATTTACAACTCAGATTTCCCCCTCGTTTTTAATTCACAAGTTGTCGTCTTTTCCAATTCAAAATTCCAGTGATCTTCAATTCAAAATTCCCTATAATTTTTTATTCCAAGTTCCTTGTCAATTACAAATGTAAATACTTAGCAATTTCCATATGAAATTCCATGTCAATTCACATTGAAATTTTTCTGTAAGTTTTAATAGCAAATTTGCTGCCATTTTTGCCAACTGAAAATTCTCAGTCAATTTAGATTCCCGGTCAAATTAAATGTGATATTCCCCCGTCAGTTTTAACATTAATAATTATAAGTTCACCGACACTTCTGATGTACAATGCTCGGTCAATTCCACCTTTAAATTGTCGTCGCCTGCGGCGAGTCTGCAGGCGTAAGCTTCGATGGCGTGGCAGGCGAGCTCCCGAGCCGCGTAGGTCAGCCTGTATCGCCTGCAATGGCGGCTAGCAGGGTAGCCTGCATCCTGCCTCTTATCTCCTGCTGCGGTTGTATCGGTCTCATTACTGAAAGAAGGAGAGAATTCACATGTTAAATAATGCGAGTAGGTAACGACAAACAATATGGTGGCAGAACTAATGGAACGCAGGCTCCAAGGGAATATGAATCCCTTTACTCTTCTTCCGTCAAAAGAAAATCATTTTTGAAGCAACAAATACAAGATAAAAACAATATTCATATATTTCTAATGTGTTAATGTCACTTATTTGCTTAAATCGCAAGTTGACTAAAAATTTAAAAGCAAAGAATAGTCCACAAAAATTCATATCTTTATAGAAAACGACTATTCTTTGCTTTTAAATTTCTAATGTGTGTCCATTAACATTTTATGCACTCGACTTCGCTGAACCACTACTTCCAGCTAATGATTTAAAAAATCTTTGTATACATTATATTCGTAATGATATTAGGTTGATCAATAGATTTCTAGAATAGCTAAGCCACAATTCTTCTAAAAGAAACGTGGTTATCCATGAAGTGTTACAATAAAATAACTTTGAGGCACAACAAATACTTTAGTGTATTTTGACATTGTACTTTCGTACAAGTAGGAACTTTTACATAACAGACATTTTGGCTTGTAATACGGTGCAGATTTTGACTTGTAATAGCAGCATAGCCTCAGGCTTGTCGTACATGAAGCATTCATAACCCACATACTGAACTATTAGCTGCTTAAAGCTTCACATAACAGCACTTACAACCCACATACTGACCCATAAGAAGGCTCAGAAAGTTTCATGTAGCAGCACTTACAACCCACATACTGACCCATAAGAAGGCTCAGAAAGCTTCATATAGCAACACTTGCAACCCTATACCTGTCTCTTATNCATATACTGACCCATAAGAAGGCTCAGAAAGCTTCATGTAGCAGCACTTACAACCCACATACTGACCCATAAGAAGGCTCAGAAAGCTTCATATAGCAGCACGAGACAGACGCGATGTAGCGGCAGTGCGGCGAAGCAAGGAACACTCGCAGCACCGTCGTGGCGAGGTCGCCGCAGGTGTGAAGCCCAGTCAATCCGAATGAACGTGGCTCTGTATTCCAACTTTACATATATATGAATACACATACGGTAAAGTGGGACTGTCAGAGGATTAGAACAAACTCTAACCAGATACATGTGTTGATCAGGCATGCCAAACACGCGATGTATTAGGGGCAGTTCGCGTTTAAATCATCTAAATAAAGTACTTAGTCCAAAAGAGTTAAGGGTTTACTACCGAAAAAATCCAACCAAATAGGAAGTAAGCATGCGAGAAAAAAAATTAATTCCAAATGTGTAGGCAAAAATAGGTATATACTGATAATTGGGCGTTAATGAATATTTAAAAGACATTGAGGCAAAATCTATGCTATGAAAAAATGCAAACAAGATACAAAATAAGGATTTGAATAGGGAAGCATCTCCATTTGTCATTTAAAAAATGACAAATTATTCGAAAAATTTTGTCATTATCAAGGAAAGTTCAGACATAAGAACAATAGAATGTTAGATCCAGTAGTTTACAAATAATCAACCTGCACTGGTGCTGTGATAAAGTGCAACAAACCTTCACTTGACAGCGAGGAGTGCTGAGGAGACAGAGGCTGGTCCCCGTAAGATTGTGTAGAAGGATTACAGGTCGACAGAACTCGCTGAAAAGTAAATACCGGTATGAGTCTTACTAAAATTTACGAAATGAAAAAAAGTAAATTTCGACTATTCTTATTCTGACAACTCTAATGCTTGACAATCGGAGTAAAAATTTCTCGTACGTGAATTGTATATTATTACGAGGACATAGAAAAGGATGTAATAGCAGGATAGATTCGAGTTAGCTGAAAAACACGTACATAATGCAATTACTTTTGTTAAATGCTTTGGGATACTTGGAAGCATGCATTTGGAACTTAGGTGCAGGATATTTTGTAAAGCAAGAGAATAGCACATAAAATTAACTAAAAAATTCCTTACTTGAGTGAAATCTTGAGGCTGAACACCAGGGTGCAGGTCACACGTCACATGCTTGGGTCCCGCTGGCAAGGAGGGGCGCACGTCTGCAGGGATGCGCTTGTGAAGTTTGAGGATGGATTGCTCCAACTGAGCGTCAAATTTTCTGAAAATTAACATTGAAGTCAGAAAGATAACAGGCGGGAAGATGGTATAGTGCTGGAGTAAAAAGAAGAATAATTTTTAAAATGAGTTTCCGCAGAAAAGAAAAGGAAGTGAATAAATGAATTTTGGACAAAATGAATAGGTAATTAAAAAAAATCATGGCAAGTTCAGCCACAGTAAGATAATTAAAATCCTATGCCAAAAACGAGTCTCAAACTTTAATTTATATTACCATATGAATATTACTAAATTCTAGAGAGCGCGTACCGAGCCCCAACAACAAAATCGTCTTCTCTGTCCACACACACGACGTCCATGTTGTAGCCGTACGCCATGAGCCGCGCTAAGTGACCACAGCCGCTGCCGATGTCGGCGGTCACGTCACAGTTGACGCTGGCCGCGGCCATGGCGGCCACCAGACCCAAACGGGCAACTTCGTGCTGCTTCTTGGGCTTCAGATGACGGCGGAATACGTGCGACATGAGGGTGTGGTGGCCGCCGCTGCCTGGGGACAAGTTTTGTGTGAGATTAACAACAAATTGTCGGCGGAAACGTTCGACACAAGTTGGTGTTGTGACGACCACTGACTGGTTTCGATGCTATGGATAAAAATTTCTCTTGTCGATAGCTTAAAGATGATATTTCCAATCTGACAATTCAAACATAAAAAACTATAATAGGATGTGTATAAATTGAATGTACCAACGCTAGTTAATTGAGATTAGCTGCACGAATTGTCAGTGTATTTTTATGAGATGTACCTAGGCCATGAATCTCATAGTCCCTAAATATATATGTATACGTATTATATATACACGGGTGGTTAATGGACAGAGAATGCATAGAATTCTCTAGCCGTTAACCACCCGTGGTTAAACAAGCTTATTCTGCCACCTAATACCAACTAAATATAAATGCATGCACTAAAGCAACTTACAAAATACAACAGAACTATTTCAAAGTCAATCAGACACAAAAAATTATGGTATATTTTATTTTTTATCAACTTCTTACCTCTACACAGTTCATTATGAGACGATTGCCACAAAATTGAGCGTGGATCATCAGATGGCCAAGCTGGCTTCAGTGCAGCCGATAGTGATGGCACTGCATCATCTGAGGCTGATGATGACACTGTATGATCAGTGGCTGATGGTGATGATGACGCTGCATCATCTGTGGCTGATGGTGATGATGGCATTACAACAACTTTAGAGCCATTTGCTCCAGACTCTTGTTGCTGGTGCTGAGAACTGTTGAGCTCAGCAATCAACGACAATTTTACATCATTGCGGCCACTGGTAGCAGTGCTCAGCCCACCTCTAGCATCACACTCAGTTGATTTTCTGTCTTGGAAAAGAAGAAAAGTTAATGCGTCTGATACTACCATCAGTTATGGTATACAAAAAACGGCGAGAATTCTTTCAAAATATCCACATTTTTAATAGTTTCCTACAGGGAAAATGGAGATAATGGTGACAACTTGGACACATGAATTTAAAAACCACAACGATATGCATTCATGTTCATTGAAGAATAAATGATATGCATTCATATATGAACAAATGAGATATATATATATATATAATGTGATTATCATCCATTTTTAGTATCACAGATGCATACCATCATAGGCTGCTCTGCAGTGAAATCTGTTATAGTGCAATAAAAATTTGTTGATTTTGATTTATAATTGAATGAAGATTATAATCATCGAATGAATGATTATAATTGAAGATTGAGATCAATAAGGAATATTTGAATATAATTTCTGAACATATTTATAGGCCTAACAATGGAATGAAAATTACCACTGATCATAATCATGACATGAAATTTGAAGAGGCCATTGATCATATAGTAAAAATACAAATAAATCATTTTAACATTGCACTGAATCACACATTAGTGGTTCGTAGGTACATATTCTCTTGGCATATACCTATACAGAATCTTGCATGAGAGACTTGGTCTCCACACTCTTGTTTGAACAAAGAACAATTATCCCAGCCTGGTATATAAACAGTTAAACACTCTTGCTTCCACACGAGACCAATATCAAAGGTTTACTCACTATTTTTTGAAAATGGAACCTATATCCATGGTCCATACATCCTGTTTTAACACAAAACAAATATTCCTTAGTCTATATCCTTTTTCATGTTTCAACAGTGAACAAATATTCTTGACATAAATACACAATTATTCTAAGCAGACCAATTATTTCAGCAACTTACCACACTGCTGATCCAGCAAGTACTGAATGAAAGGCTTCACTGAAGAAACTGCATTCCTTGGCAGAGAACATCTGAATGCAGCAGCTTGGAATGCAAGCAGTGATAGAGGGAGCACACCAGATGTAAACCTTGGTAAAAATTATATTGTGTTAAGTTAGGTCAAACAAGGTTTGTAGTTTGTACACTTTTTCAACTTGACTTTTTAAAGCCAGAATTCAAAGAACAAATTTGAACATTATAACCTATTAAAATTATTATTGAATTATTACTATTATTACTATCATTACTCCTAAAAACAATGACTTACTTATTATTTATGTTTGATGCACCAGGAGGCTGCAGGATAGTTGCCAGCTGAGGAGGAGACAACTGAGAGAGAGCATCTTGCCATGATTTAGGAACTTTGGACCACAGATCTTCACAAAAGAATTCCTGAAAACATAAGAAATCAAGGAGCTGATACAGACTAACATATTGCAATGGGGCACATAAAATTACTGCACCTTAAGATCCTCAATCTTCATTGTCAACTTTTAAATTAAAGCACAAAAATTAAGAATTTAGTAGGTTAGATAGGTACAATAATCAGAATTATAACAGCATTACATAAGTTGTCCCTAGCTGGCTGAAATTAGACATATATAGCACCAATGTCAGATAATCAGCATTCTGAGAGATTACATTAGGTTTATTGAGCCAAGTTTATATAAATATAAAGATGATATAGTTGCCAGGAGACAGGAGTCTTTTGAATTTGTATCAGAAGCTTCCTGATACAAAAGGTTTGATTCCATTTTGACTACAATTGCTGGATGAGTGATTGAGATTACTCTGAGTGTGACTGAGCACCTAGTGATTGAGATTAACTCTGAGTAGCAGTAGCTAAGTAGCAATTAGCAATCAGTAATTCATGTACTTTAGCATTTATTACTCACTTTAACAATTGAATTAGTGTAAAGTTGAAAATATCCATACATTTTTTACTGGCTATACAAACTGGCTTACCCAAGTTTGTTAAATCAAATTGAATGTAAGTAAGGGTTTAATTTACAGGTACCTATTTTATCTAATAAAATTATGTTAATTACCAGGCATTTAATCACATGTTGGAAAAACCTACAACTTACTAATGAAGAAACTGAGGATAATTATGAAGGTTTTCCAAAAACAATGCAACACAAATTCAAAATTTAACTGCAAGTAAATTTTGATCTTGCTGTCACTACCTTTATCACATATATACTGGAAGCTTAACCTTATATCTTCATGCCCAATTATGATACAGCAAAAAATATCTCAAAACTATATCAGAAAATATTTTACAACCAAAAAATTTACCACATGAATGTTAATATAGAAATAACTTACCAAAACATAGGAATCTGTCAAAAAAACATAATTTTCTAGTAAATGGAAACTGCTGTCACAAAAGTGTTTCCAATACTCTATAGTATATTGATTTATCAAAGGGATTGACTTGCAGCTTGAGTAACTTGCATCCATGATTAGAAGCTATATGGTATGGATGTATAATTTATACTATATGTACATATACTTCAGTGTACATTTAGTGACTAGTGTTTGCAAAGTTCTGGCATTTGCTCTAAAATAGAACCATATTAAAGAAATACCGTAAAATGGGGTAACTTAGAACACTTTTATTTTTATAAACGATGCCATTTTTTTACTAGCTAAATTAAACTTGAATTGAAACATGCAAAATACAGGTCTATACTCTAGCTTCACTCACCATAAATTGCTGGCTCCTGCCTCTCATAGTCTTTATGTAATTTCAAAAAAGTGGTGGTCTTTGTTACCCCAGCTCTTGGGGTAACTTAGACCGGGTGGTAAAATCAATTATATTTTTTGGTAAAATA